CGGGGGTCCCTCAGCCCAGCCTGTGCCCTCTCGCAGTCTGGGACCCCTGGGGGATAACGCCCCCCGATAGTGGGCTCCGCCCCTGGCCGGGACTTACGCCTCTGGCCTAGGCGTTAGGCCCAGGCAGGGGACCCCCGCAGCTGCAGCCGCCCCCCTGATCATGGGCTCCGCCCCTGCCCAGGCCTTACGCCTCTGGCCGAGGCATTAGGCCGGGGCAGGGGACCCCCCCAGCTGCAGCCGCCCCCGATCGTGGGCTCCCCCCCTGCCCAGCTCCCATTGCTGGCTCCACCCCTACTTCCCGCTATCACTGGCCAGTGCGGCAAAGGCGCAGGATTCTCCGATCATGGCTGGGGGGGCAGTGCAAAGGCAGCCCTGGGGGCCGCCTTTGCCCTGCTCCCTGGCTCTTAGCTCCCCCCTGGGTTTCCGATCACTGTCAGTGCCAGGGGGCTTCTTCCGTGCTTTCCCTTTTGCCTCCCTGCATTGTGCCTACATATGCAAATTAACCGCCATCTTTGTTGGCAGTTAACCGCCATCTTGGCTGGTGATTAATTTGCATATCTCGCTAATTAGCCAATGGGAAGGGTAGTGGTCGTACGCTAATTACCATGTTTCTCTTTTATTAGTGTAGATAATTATATAGAGAGACATATGTAATAATTATAATAGACTTAGTGACATGTCTGGATAGCTGAACTGTTACATAGCTGCATCTCTGGCATTCAGCAGAAGTTCACTGTCATTCCTGTTAGCGGTGTATAAAAGTTATAAATTTCTGGGTCTGTTTTAGGGGTCACTGCTGATTCAATCCTGTGTTTCCTCTCCTGTCCTGGTGGCTGATTGATAATTTGGGGGGGTGGGGGCTGAACCTAAGTCATACAGGATTCTCAACCACAAGGGAAGATGATGCTCCATAAACTTTTCATGCAAAGACAGGGTTTTACGTCAGCAGGGAGAACAAGATTTTCTGGGCACTGAAATGGCTTTTTTTTCTGAAATCTAGCCCCTCCTCCCCCACAATGACACCCCCCTTTTCGAGTTGGAGAGGTGAAGTGTTGGCCTCATGGACTTGTCAGATGTGAATGCCTCCTGCTCCCCCCAGTTTTTTGGGCAACGTGCTAGAAAAGAACTTCAAAGCGTGGGACATGTTCACACGACATCTGACACACATTTCAGGACTGAGTCCAGCAGGGACCCCAAACACGAATGGAGCAAATGTAGTTTCTAAGATGGGCTTTAGGTGTCATTTGAGCAGCAAGTGACACAATTGTATCTTTGATCTCTTAGCACAGTTTCAAAGCAGCCCATGGATTAGCTGCATGCAGAGGCAGCTGCTAGGGACCGTCAATTATTAATGCTCGGGCAGCAGGCCTCCCGCTTCTCCCTTATTCCTCAGATAAAAGGCGCATAAAGGGACCAGCAGTCGGGCTTGCTGCCGCCCCCTACCCCGCCTGGTGGGGGTGACGCGGGGACCCATGTCAATGAAATGAAAGTGCACTCGTTCTAGAGTTACAAGGGAGGGCATCATTTCTCCGACCCTTTTGCTCGAGTGAGGTGAGAGTCCTGAGTATTCAGAAATACGGGCTGAAGCCATCCTTTCTTTCCCGTTGGTAGGTGGTGGGGAGAAGGATGGGGACACGAAGAGCTGACATTTTTGTGTCTGGCTGAAAAATGAAGGCCGGTGTATTAGTTTGCTACGGCTGCAGAAACAAATGACCACCAACTTAGCTTAAAACAGCACAAGTGTATCCTGTTACCATTCTGGGGGGTCTGACATCCCACACAGGCTGAAATCTAGGTGATGGCGGGCTGCCTTCCTTTCTGCAAGTTCCTGGGGAGAATCTGTTTCCTGCTCATTCGGGCAGAATCCAGCTCCTATCAGTGGTAGGACTGAGGCCCGGCCCCCTGCTGGCTGGCAGCCAAGGGCAGTGCCCAGCTTCTAGGGGCAGCCTCATCCCTGGGCTCCTGGCAGCACCCTCCACCCTCAAGTCACATCTCTGGGGTCCTCGCTGCTTTCCTCTTCCCTTATTATGGTTCCTCTGGGCTCGCCAGGATTACCTAGATTGCGGATGCGATTAGGGCAGTGGTCGGCAAACTGCAGCTGGCGAGCCACATGCGGCTCTTTGGCCCCTTGAGTGTGGCTCTTCCACAAAATACCGACTTCTGCGCATGGGCCACGAAGTTTCAATCGCACTGTACGTGCGTACCCGCACGTGGCATTTTGTGGAAGAGCCACACTCAAGGGGCCAAAGAGCCGCATGTGGCTCGCCAGCTGCAGTTTGCCGACCACTGCCCTAATCGCATCCGCAGAGTCCCGTTTGCCGTGTAAGGTCACGTATCCACAGGTGCCACGGCTTGGAGTGCGGGCATCTTTGGGGGTCATTTTTCTGCCACAGATGGGGAGGGTTGAATGGGACATTGTGGGAGGCCAGGGTCCAGTTAGAGGTTCTGTGGTGGCCCAGGCAAGAGGCAGGTGACCGGAACCAGTGTGCTCCGTACACAGCCCTCAGCGGACGTGTGAGCGTGGGGCTGGCCAGGCATCCTGGCTCCTCACTTACACCGCCCGCACATCTCGGTGACACTCCCACGAGGGAAACGCAGAGCACAGAGAATTTAAAGTGGACTGCGGAGTTCCGGTGACGTCGGTCCTTCAGCCACCAGCCCCGGGGTCCCTTGCTGAGTGGCAGGTGGAGGCCCAGGACAGTGCTGGTGGGGGTGGGACAAGGTCCCTGTAGTGAAGGGGCCGGTCACAGGGAGTGTGGCACCCTCTTCTCCACCTATAAGTGCGCAGGGTGGCCCGGGAGGCTAAGCACTTACCTAAGGAAATCGGTGAACACGCGTGTGCGCGAGCACACACACACACACACACACACACACACACACACACACACGTGTGCGTGGGGCCTCTGGTGGAGACAGCAGCTCTCCAATAACCATTGTCTTTTTCCTCCTAAAGCTGGAGCTCCGCATGAAGGAGGAGAGAGAGGACATTCCGATCCGGTGGTCCTTCCTCAGCCTGCCGGAGATGGCCATCACCATCCAGCCCCGAGCCCCGGGGGAGGTCAGTCCGTTCGTCCCTATGATGCCTCCGGCGGTGTATTGGGGACGTGTGTGCCTTGTGATGGATCTGATGCCCCCTCTCACCCCGGCCTCCGGGCTGCCACTGGAATCCCCTGGCAGCTGTCAAGAACCCGGAAGCCTGCTTGCCACCCCATGTGGGTGTCATGGGGCGGGGGAGTCCCCGTGTGGGTGTCAGGGGGCAGGGGAGTCCCCGTGTGGGTGTCGTGGGGCTGTTGCAAACTGTTGAAGGAATGACGTTCTATCACACCTGATGGTCAGATTTGCTCTCCTGCCTAGAAATGGCTTTACCTACAGCTCGGGCCGAGCCTAGCCAGCTCCGAGGTCATGACCTTCTTCCTCTCCACGGTTTTTGTAAAGACGCACCCCAAATCTGGAGGCAGCCTCCTCCTGCTCCCCGGGGTCTTGGCTGTTTGGAGAAGTGAATTCAGGCGTGGGAGTGGGCATGCTAGTCAGTTGGCGATGACCTTCTTCCTCTCCACGGTTTTTGTAAAGACGCACCCCAAATCTGGAGGCAGCCTCCTCCCTGCTCCCCGGGGTCTTGGCTGTTTGGAGGAGTGAATTCGGGCGTGGGAGTGGGCATGCTAGTCAGTTGGCATCGCCGTGTCCAGTTGCTGAAACGATGATGCAAAATCATTTACACCAAAGGCTTAGGTTACTAGGTTCTTCCTTTGCAGCGGCTTTTGCAGGGTTTCCTTGTGATTTAACCCTAACTCTGACTCTTGTTCACCAGCTGACATATGTGACTTTAATAGTTGGTCTATAAATAGTCACTGTCCCTGCCTTAATCTAGATGTGGACAGTTGCTTTTTAAAAAACACTGGTAAGTGTGAATGGTAGTTCTTTCGGCTTGCCTGCATCCGAAGTGTCATTTGTGCCGGCTGCTTAGTTCCAGGAGAGGCACGAGTGCAGCGTCTCCCTCGCCGCCAGCTCCGGGCCTCTTTCTCCTTCTTTCCATATTTGTGCTCCTTCCTCCCACACGACATCCTTTGTTCTGTAACTTGCTCCCCTGGCACCACTGCCGACCTCACACCTGCCAACGTTCAGGGCGGCCGCTGGCCCTCGCCTCAGAGTGCATCCCGCTGAGGGGGCCCGAGTTCACGGTCAACAATGACTTGATTTTTTTTCCTCCGTGTGGTTATCATACCCATTTCATGTCCCGTGAGCTGCATTTGTGTCTGTTCGGATGCAGTATTAGGGTTTGTCCCCCATCTTTGTTGATTTACATATGTTTTTAACATGCAAAATATTAACAGGATTTTAAAGTGAAAGTTACATGAAACGTTATACTCAGAAGTCTGTCCCCTGTTCCTTTCCCTTCTGCCACCATTCTTCTGTGCGCGGTAACACGTTTCTGTGGTTTTTACCTTTTCTGCCCTTCTTTTTGCAAAAATGATCTTATTCCTCCTTTCTCACCCAAATGGTGGGATACTGTACGTGCTGTTTATACCCTGCCCACGCCCTGGACATTTCCCTGACCCTCATGTGCTGCTCATATCTGTGGGCAGTGTGACTTCCCAGTGAGGCAGTTCTGTGGAGCAGCCAGCCCCCCGCCGCTGGGTCCTGCTGGGCCCCGAGGGAGGAGGTGGCATGTGGGCAGGGGGTGGCGTGGAAGGAAGGTCCCCGAGTCAGCTGCTCTGGGGGTCTAAGATGTAATGGACTCTGACATGCGCGCACCCCAAACTCATCTTTCTCCCTTGGTTTCCTCCTCTATAAAGTGTGGAGAAATTGTTGGGGTTAAAAGGATAAAAGTAGACAGCCCTCGCCGGTTTGGCTCAGTGGATAGAGCGTCGGCCTGCAGACTGAAGGATCCTGGGTTCGATTTCGGTCAAGGGCACATGCCCAGGTTGTGGGCTAGATCCCCAGTAGGGGGCGTGCAGGAGGCAGCTGATCACGGATTCTCTCTCACCTTTGATGTTTCTATCCCTCTCCTTTTCTCTCTGAAATCAATAAAAATATATTTACTTAAGACCTCTCCCTTTCTCTCTGAAATCAACAAAAACATATTTATTTTTTTAAAAAAGGTAAAAGTAGACAAGAAAATGAGGTCCATCCATATAATGGAATGTCACTCAGGCATAAACGAGAGTGAGGTTGCGATACCTGCTGGAACTTGCATGACCCTGAGCACGTCATGTTCAGTGAAAGAAGCCAGACATACGAGGCCACTGCTGTGGGATTCCACGTTCCCCCCATCACCTCTCTATGCCGTGTCCAGAACAGGCAAGCCCATAGAGACGGGAAGCAGAGCAGCGGTTGGCAGGGCCTGTTGAGGGAGCGGGGGGAGGGGTGACTGCCTGTGGGAAAGGGGTTTACTTTGGGGGGCGGGGATGAAAATATTTTGAAACAAGAAAGAGGTGG